CGGGACTCGATGCTGACCGCCCGGGCCCGCCGTTGGCGCAGCGAGTTCCTTACCCGAAGTGACCGGCGGCGGGAAGAGGGGGCGGGGAGCCGGGCCGGGGGCAGGAGCGGGGGGCGGCCCAGTTTTCTAGGCTGCGCAGTTTTCGCGCTTCCGCCGCCACCACCTGACATTTCTAACCAGTATTTTTGGGCTTTCGAGAATTAAAAAAATAGAACAAAACAACCCTCCCTCCCCCACCCCAAACACCGTCCGGGCTCTCTGGACGCGACTGCATTGGGTTGACAGCCGGTGAGTCGGGGGACAGGCCGCCCCGACCCGCTTATTGGGCCGGGAGGATGGCTGGGGTGGGGGCACCGGGGTGACCTTTGTCCTTCGGCAAAAGCTTCCCAGGGACAGGAAGAAATCCGGTATAGGCGAGAAGGCCCTAGAGATCTGGCTTTGTAAAAACTCTCAATTTAAAACTTTAAGTCAGAAATTGTATTCTTTCTGAAACGTCGCTGGAGCAGCCAAGAGCTTTGGGAACTGACAACGTAAGGAGCTTAAGTTTGCAGGGGTAAAGGCGTGTCGTTATGCGGGTCCTCGCCCGGGTCTCGCAGCTCCCCTGGAAGCAGAGAGCGACTGGGTCCCCAAACATCCCTTCGCATTTGGCAACAAAGCCTCCGCCCCCTGCCCAATTGGCTGCTCTATTCTGGCTGGATTCGAATCGCGAATAGTAGTGTGGCGCGCCCCAAATAAATCAGCCCTGGGGACAGGTCGCGCCCCAGAGCCAGCACCTCTTCGAGGACGAGGAGGGCGGCTCAAGGACGGAAGGCTCACTCCGGAGGGGCCACTCCTTTCGTCTAAATAGTCGGGAGAGAAATAATTTCGTTTAAGATTAGCACCCACCCCCCCCAAAGGAGACAGGCAGAAGGAAAAGAAAAAAAAAAACACGAAGAAAATAGAACTTTTAAGAGCCTATTTACTGGGGAACCATGGGGGACTTCTCCAGTTCTTGGGTTCCTCCCTAGTTTAGGGTACACTTCCCTCCGTGTCCCCTATTCTCCCCACCTTCCCGGACTAGCTGGGGTGCTCAAAGGAAACTCAGAGCGCGGGACCTGGGAACCCCTAGGGGGTGGCTTTGAAAATGTGCCGCTCCCCCCTGGGAGTGGAAGTTTTCCCCAGGGCCAAATCCAGTGCATTGGGAAAATGATAAACTGGATGGGTCAGGCTTCCTTGCCTTTCTGTCTGAAGAAACTCTGCGGGTTAAACAGTTTTGTTTTTAAGTTAACTGAAAAGAAAAACATTGTACTATCCATTCCCTCCTTTAGTTGGAAAACCAATCTAAAAAAATTGTGACCGTGCAAAGGAGCAAATTACAACCTCCCACTCTTGTTTTAGGCTGTGTTAAAGAGAGATTGGGAATCTGGATGGTAAAATGCCGGGTCCCTTCTCGAGCCCTTAAAAGCCGCACGCTGTGGTCAGTGTCTGCCCCGCTGCTCATCTCTTTCCCAGCGGTGCCAGGGCCAGCGCACCCTCTCGCAGCTGCTCTGGAGCTGCGGGAAAAGCAGGTCCCTAGGGCTTTAGCTATTGTCCAAGGAAATTCACACAGACACCTTCATACTTGCTAATATAAAGGAACACACACAACAGGAACCAGGTTCGGGGCTAGGTCTCCGCAAGGGCTCAAGGCTTGGAGGCCGTTCGCAGCTTGGAATCTAACTTAGCCAGAGGATTTAAAAAAAAACTCATCTCCATTGGAAATCACCTCACTGAGATATGAATTAAAAAAAAAAAAAAACTGCTTTTAAGAATACAACTGAAAAAGCATTTCAAAAACAGTTGGACTCAAAGAAAGGCAAACGTCCACAACGTTTCTGTATCTGCTTACAAATGAGCTTCTGAAAAACTCAAAATTTGGTCGGAACTCACGCAAAACCCAAAAGAGAAAGGCTTTGGAAGCTGTGGTCGGAGTTAAGTGGGAGGCAGACGCCGGGTCATCTCTTCTGCTAGTACCGTTCGATCGAACCTAGGTTAAACTTTAAAGCCCTGAATCCTGCTCCGGTCGCCAATCTCTCTGTTCCAGAGTTTTCTACCTTCACTCCTCGCGAACTGTGGCCACACTGAAACTGGGAGCCGCCACAGTGATTGGGGGAAGTAAAGAGGAATATAATAAAAGTGACTAAATTGGATAAGAACGGTTTATGGACCGTCGTAGTAGCAATTTAAAATTCAGAAGCGTTTAGCAGCAATTTACAACGAAGAATGGAAAAAAAAAAAAAAAGAATTCTCGCCAACTTCTTCGATTCAGTGCTCTTCCCCTCACTGCCAGGCCCTGTCCCCTTCTCTCCCTAGGATACACAGGCTCACCCTCACAATTATATTGAGAGGAAACATACTTTTAACGATGAGGTCTCACAATCTCTCAACTCTGCTTAGGCTCCTCTCCCTTCCCCAACTGGAAAAACACACACACACAAAAGAGCCCAAATGCTTTCAGGGAGACTGACCTTTAGAAAATCATTTACTTCGATTTACCTGGGGGGGGGGAATTGTAAAATCCATCCTCACAAAGCAACTCCTCCTGCCCTAGTTAAAATTCTCTCTCCGCGGCCTTCTGGGGTCACGTCTGTCGGAAGAAATCTTTTTGTGAGTGAAAGGGAGCGAGACATAGATCACCGCTGCTGCGGCGGACGAACCTGCGGCCGCGCGCCTCGCTGCTGACAGATCCGCGCTGATAACCTCGCGACGTTCATTTCCAGTCCCTTTGCCGGCTCAGGACCGTATCAGTTTGTACACAGTTGTGATAACCATTTGGAGGGAGCGAAGAAGGGGTGTGTATGTGAGGGTGGGGGTGGGGAAGCGGTATTTCCCGCTGGGTCCAGTGAAGGTGAACCCCCTCCCCCCTTTCCAACGCCTTATCCGAGACTTACCTGAAGTTCTCCAGGATAAGCTCAGAGCAAACGGGACACCAAAACTTGGAAAGCATCTCGGGGCGCAACTGGGGTGGAAACACTTTTCATTACGCGCACCTTCGGGGACTAGCCTTTACGTACACCACGACCCCGAATTAAAAGTTCCCAAAGGTTAGCTGGTGAGTGTCGACGTGAACTCCCCGAAACCTCCTAGGGATTTAGTCTGTTTCTAAAAAGCAGGGCAGAGATAGGGAGCTGGGCACCTGAGTTCCTTCTTTTCCGTATCTTTGGAGCCTCGATCCCCGACGGTCACCAGGACCCGAGCCCCAGGGTCTCGATTAGAGGTCGGGGAAAATTTAAGGTAGTTCACATACAAAGGCAGAGCATAACGCTCTTCTAACGTGGATGAAGGAGCGGGGAAGGCCCGTGGAGCAAAACACTTTCCCCCTCATTCTGGGGGCACGTTGACCCGATAGCTGGCGCGTCCTTCCCGCTGCGGTGGCTGCGCAGGGCTGTACACAGCCAACTCCTCTCGTGCCAGCCCCCCCCCCCGCCCCCGTGAGTGCGTGTGTAACTGGGGGCGGAGGAAAGTGCTGCGCCGCCGGATGGGTGTGGGTCGTCAGCCAGGTCAAGCGTTCCTCCACCTCCGCCCCTCCTCGGGCGTCCCAGGGCTCGGCGCCCCCTCGATGGACTGGCCCCCTCCCAGGAAGGTACTCGCAGCTCGGCCCACACCCGCAGGCTGCGCGGCGCTCATTGTCTGCTGGGGTGGCGCGCTCCCCTCCCCCAGCCGCCCGCGGTCCCCTCCCCACCCTCTTTCTCTCCTCCCCTCGCTCCCTCCTCCTCCTCCTCCTCCTCTTCACCTCCAGCGCCCAGCTGCTCGCACAGCGCAGTTCCGACCCACAGCCTGGCACCCTTCGGCGAGCGCTGTTTGTTTAGGGCTCGGTGAATCCAATCAGGAGCGCAGGCTGCAGTTTTCCGGCAGAGCAGTAAGAGGCGCCTCCTCTCTCCTTTTTATTCACCAGCAGCGCCGCGCAGACCCCGGACTCGCGCTCGCCTGCCGGCGCCCACAACCTCTCTCCGCGCTCGAGAGCAGTCTCCGCCGCCGCCGTTCTCCATGCGCAGCGCGCACCCGAGGTTCGGCTGCTTTCTCGCTTGCTCGGGCTCCCTTCTTTCCTTCCCTCAACCCCCCACCCCGTCGCGAGCCCCTCCGCCCCGGGCCATCCGGCCCTCTGCGGGCCCCGTCGGCTCTGAGGGTGTCTCCCTCCTCCTGTCGCGGCTGGCTGTAGCGGCTCCCAGGTTCCCGGGACACCGCGGACCAACTTCTGCTGTTTCTTCCTCTCCCTGAAGCGCTTATCTGCGCGCAGCCTTATCTCCGAATTATCTGGCGCAAAGGGGCGGGAGCCGGCAGTCAGGCGAGCAGAGAGACTTCTTTCTTGCTATCTAGCCCGGGTCTGTGTGTGGGTATTAATTTTAGTATGGTTATCTCCGAGGAGCCGAAGCGATTTGGAAAAGCAGCTCGGAGGAGGCCCGTCCGGCTGCATTTCGCCTTCCTACCCCACTCCTTCCGAATCTCCCCGTCTTTCTTCCTGCTCTCCCCTTTGGGGTGGCCTCGGCCCCAGGGCGGTCTCACGCCCCCCCCGCCCCCCGCATTTCCCCCTCCTCCTTTTCTCTGCGCGCCGCTCCACCCCGCTACGTCCGACTCCGGAACGGTCCGGCCTTTCCGCGGCTGCGGAAGATCTCGGGGTGGGCGGGGGTGGCCCAGCCGGCGTGAGCGCACGCGCTGGTGGCTGCAGCCACGAGCCTTGTCGAAGGTGTGCAGCGCCACGGGGAGGAGGGTTGGGCGTGAGACTGCGGCCCCGCGGGCACCCAGCAGTGCCCGGGCCCGGAAGGTCAGAGACTGGTCTCCGCCTCGGCGTCCCACCTTCCCTGGGCGCTGAGTTGCACTTCTCTGGAGCTCGCGTTCCGTCCGGTCAAGCGCAGTCCGGGAAGCTCTGGGAAAGCCAGTGTGGGAGAACGCGGCGGTTTCGTTTTCGGGGACAGGTTGCCTTCCTTAAGCTAATGATTTTCGCGCGGGCAGACCTCACACCGAGGCATTCCGGGCGGGGGCACCCGTAGGGAGGCGGGAGAAGGCAGCGCCGACAAGCACAGCTGCTTAAAAAAATTCTTTTGTGTGTCGGCCGAGAGGGAGCCACTTTGGGGGCGGAAGGAAAACCTTGGCCAGTCTCACCGTCACCCCTGGGACCTGGCGCGCGCAGATGGAGGATGCTGCGGAGGGGGTGGGCGGGAAGGCGAGGGGATCCGGGCGGTGCAGGCGAGGGAGGGCGGATATCCCGGTCCTGGGAGGACCCTGCGGCAGCTACCCAGGCTCCGTTCCCTTCTCCTTCCCCAACTCCCGCGCCTGGGGCAGAAATGGGATTTTAGAGGAATCCCATTAGCTAGAAAAGTGGGAGTGAGATTTTGTGCGGCCTGCGCTTTTGTTAACCCTTCTTGATTTTCTCCTCCCGTCCCTGCTTCCCCTCACCCCGCCTCAGGAGCTAGAAGTTAGCTTGGAGAGGCGCCGGACCGTGGATGGCCTTGACTGACGGCGGCTGGTGCCTGCCGAAGCGCTTCGGGGCCGCGGCTGCGGACGCCAGCGACTCCGGAGCCTTTCCAGCGCGGGAGCCCTCCACGCCGCCTTCCCCCATCTCCTCCTCTTCCTCCTCCTGCTGCTCCCGGGGTGGGGAGCGTGGCCCCGGCGGCGCCAGCAACTGCAGGACGCCGCAGCTCGACACGGAGGCGGCGGCGGGACCCCCGGCCCGCTCGCTGCTGCTCACCCCGTACGCCTCGCATCCCTTTGGGGCTCCCCACGGACCTTCGGCGCCCGGGGTCGCTGGCCCCGGGAGCGCCCTGTCGAGCTGGGAGGATCTACTGCTCTTCACTGACCTCGACCAGGCCGCGACGGCCAGCAAGCTGCTGTGGTCCAGCCGCGGCGCCAAGCTGAGCCCCTTCGCACCCGAGCAGCCCGAGGAGATGTACCAGACCCTCGCCGCCCTCTCCAGCCAGGGGCCGGCCGCTTACGACGGCGCGCCCGGCGGTTTTGTGCACTCTGCAGCCGCCGCCGCAGCCGCCGCCGCCGCGGCCAGCTCCCCGGTTTACGTGCCCACCACCCGCGTGGGCTCCATGCTGCCGGGCCTGCCGTACCTGCAGGGGGCGGGCA